CCCCCAGAATCGAGTATGCGCCGCATCGGGTGCGCGCGCGTCGTGCCCTCTGCGCGGTGCGGCGCATGTGCGAGACGCCACGCATGTCCATGCGCCGCATGTATGTCTGATACTAATATAAGATCAATTCTGGATTTGGTATTTTTATTCGCTTGGTTTTTCCTAAAGCACGAAAAAGACTTGGTTGTTGGATTGAGCCTTCTGAATGAGTCAAAGAGGTTGGATGAGTGACATAGATTAGCTATTATTTGCTCATCCTTTTCTATGTATGCGGGGCAAGGGGAGGGGATGGTCCATCTGTCCATGTTTCGGTCCGGAGCTGCATTGAAGTCCCCTGCCATGATGACTCGGACTCCAATAGGCAGTCTGTGAAGTATATTTTGAAAAAAAACTTGGCGTTCAGTCAGTTCGTTTGGGCCATATACATTGAGCATACTGACTACTTCATTCTCCACTTTGGCGAGGATATAGATCCATCTGCCTTCCTGCTTATCCGCTTCCCAGTTTAACACTTCATCCTTGGACTCCGATGATATCCATATGGCAACTCCTGCGCTGCCTGTTCGGGGGCCATGCGATCTATATGCTGCATGAGGCCAGATTTCCTTATGGTTATAATTGTGTAGAGGCGTGTCTAGTAGATGTGTTTCCTGAATGCAAATCACGTCCGGCCATTTCTTGCCTCCCACTCCTTTGAGGAGTTCGATTATCATTTGCCTTTTATTCTTCTTAGCTGAGGCGAGACCATTGACGTTGAGGGTCCTTAGATCCAAATCAGCATTCCTTTTCAGTAAATTTAAGTTTTTATCTTTGTTATACAACACATCTATAAGGTTCACCTCATTCATTTTACTCACCATTTACATGTTCTTCCAAGGCGCCGTATCTAGGATTCCCCCTCTCCGAAGGGATGCTTTCTTCATAATTATAATCAGGAGAGAAAGTACATTCTCGTCTGACCAGAATTGACTAGCCTTAATCTTGAGGATTTGCAGATCCTTGAGAGAATCTTCCCCCATCCACCTCAGGCTGACTGCATCCGGAGCTTTGTATCTCAGGTAGACATCACTTTCTGCAATTTTTTCGGGCTCTGAGATGAGTATTAATGTTGCCTCAGGGAAATGATCTGCAATGAAGTTGGAGAGATGTGAATTAATGTTTGTTAATCCACTTCCATTTCCTGTGGTGTCCTGGAGGGAGATGAGAGAAGGTTCTATGCCTTGGATAGTGACTTCCCCATACTGAGAGTCTTTGGCTTCCGATAGCCCTGCTTCCCGACGCCCTTCCTTATATCTAACTGGCAGTATGATAGTCCCTGGTTTAGAAAGTTAAGGTAATGTTGCACCCCCATGCAGTCTTGATCTCAACTTCTGTCTTTTGGTCATAGGGTCCCTTGGGTCAGGGAGTGGATGGGGAATAGGACTGGCGGCAGGTAGCATAGGATATTCCATCCTTGATGATTGAGGGATATCCTCAGTGAGATCTATCTCCTCATTTTGACTGTCTATTTCTACCGAGCTTTGCTGTGTTCCTATGTTTTGTTTCTCCATCTCTTTGACTGGAATGTACGTCTCCCACTCGATCAGAGAGGATTTTGATTTTGGTGTCGTTTCCACTTCTGATTCATTAGTAACTTGGATAAATTTCCTCCCCCCTGTAATTGGGGAGATGACTTCTACCACCCTCACTCCTCTTTCTTTACCTTTCCCGTTTGTAGTCTCTGGTTTGAGCGAGCTCTGTACATGAACCATCAGGGCGACTGAGTCCTGATCCTGTGTCCGCTGG